GAACATCATTAACATACCAAACCTCTGCAACCCTCATAGAACTTAATATTCCCCATTATTTATTATTTTTCTATTTATTTCTTCTATTCGATTTGTCTAAATTTCTTCATTTATTTTTATTGCTTTAAAATGGGATTATGACACAATCCCTATACATTCCTACACCCATTTAAAAAGAGGGCCATACCTCTTGTTAAAAGTAGGAATTGGTACTGAAGGGGTTGATAAAAGTCAAAAATGGCATGGAGGTCAACCTTTGGCGCCTCCAGTACCAATCGTTCCTTTTAGGAACATATAGGGGTTGCCAACACTGACAGCAATATATCGAACCCTTTTGGGAGACTCCTATATGCATATGGGCTTGACCTCCCGTACGCTTAGACAAAGGTCAAAAAATAAAGACTAAATTATTACAAAGAGATTAAATTTGAGAAGGTAAGGGATGGAGAAAACCACAACATCATAAAAGATTATGGTAATATTAATAAGGGTTGCAATTGTGAAAGAATATGCAAAGTTTGTAGTGTAACAGATACTAACAATTACATTTTCTCGAACACAGCAGGTTTAAAAACTAACACTTATAAAGATAATAATACCTGTTGTAATACAAAAAATGTCATTTATTGTATAACTTGTAAACGCCGTGGAATACAATATGTAGGAATGACTACAAGAAAACTAAAGGATAGAATAAGAGAGCACTTTTTGAATATATCCACCAGGTAGAGGTGAGGTAACTTTTTAAAGTTGGAAAGAGAAGTGATGATGTAGAGTAATGCATCGGCGGGAGGAAAGCGAAAGATTCCGTCCACTTCGCGAAAATGAGGCTCTCTAAAATTACTGGAAATATAGGTTGTACGAGATTACCGTGACGAAAGTGGCATGTTACCGCGGCGGAAAAGGCATGGAAGGGGTATTCGGAAGAGATTTCAGTTGTTGCAATTGCTCAAAGAGCTGACTACATCAAGTCAAGATCGTATAAAACTCTCTTCCTTTGTCGCCATGAGTCATTACAAGTTGTTTGGATTTCCAACATGGGAGTTCCTTGAGATATTGTAGCCTCTACAATACCGTTGAGAGTCATCAGCTGGGGGTGTGGCATTTGCATGATATCTATTCGGTCCTTTTCTCTACCTGACTTCCGCACATAGGGTA